CTGCTTCGACAGAACCTCTTTGCATCCCTCCAAGACTATGCCGACTCTATCACATACTACATGCCTTAGTCGAGGGGCTACACTGGAGGCCTGTGTTACGTAAGAAGATGCTTGCTCCTACAACAACAAGAGGAAAAATATTACTACACACGCATACACGATATAAGAAAATATTATCACTTTCTTTAACAGAGCTTAGAGGTTTCCTCCTCGTTTACATTCGAATTCCAGTGGTAGTGTACACAACCCAGAAAAATTTTCCAAAAATGTCGTATTGTCACCAACAGAAGTGGTCGACGACCACGTGCAGTAAAACAAGCCCATACCATCAATACACATCTCAGCCTTCCTACCACAAACACGTCCACAATCTTCGCCTTCTCGGCCACACCAACAGCCACACTCAGCTGTTGAGGAACTCCCCTCATTTTCTCAGTCTTCTCCACCAACGTAGCCGCCTGCGCACACACCCCTCCCCTCACTCCTCATCCCCCCCTACCTTATCAGTATACTCCATCGTAACCATTGCTGTGTCCATCGACCGACTCATACCACTATCAGCCTGGATCCTCTCCGTTCGAGCTCTTGTCCTTTCCTCGACCTCGCACCAGTACCTATCCACTCCTCCATGTAATTTCGTGGCGCGCGGTCATGACGAGTACCGTTTTAACGCCTGACTAGCCGGGGCAATATCGTCATCGATGACGCCCTTCACCGCAATATACTCTCGTTGCGCTCCCTCCCTAGCTCGATCGACTGCCTCCTGTAGACGCCTTTGGGCCTCTCCCAGCTCCGCTTGCTTAGCCTCAAGCTGTTCATCTAGTGATTTTTCGGACGCCACGGTTGAGGCAGCCACTGGAGACAGCAGCGGTAACCTACAAAGACGTTAAGAGTTCTATCGACAAGTTGCGTCACCGCGCCACGAAATTACATATCCTCATCGTAATGCCTAGTGCCCCTTATCCTGGCCTTCTCCCTTATCCAGCTTTTCTCCTCCCTTTTTGTGGTAGCGAACCTCCTTCCGAGCTCATCAGCGATAGCCTCCCTCGCCGCCTCAAACCGTTCATGCCCATGTACTCGCCACGCCACCTCCTCAGGAGTCGGCCTGATCAACCATGATACTTCAGCAGGTAAGAATATAAAAAAATTCAGAAAATTAAAATATAAATATAAAGAAATATAAAGAATATAAAATATAGAATATAAAGAAATTTCTGGAAAGTTCTGCTGAGTCTTCTGCTTCGTACGAGCTCTGGAGGAAGCATACAGAAATCAATAGTGATTTGCCCGGAATTCCCAGAAACACGGAGATGACCATGTGCATATTTTCCCACACGGGTACTAACACCATCATAGCAGTACCTTGTCGGCAGCCACGCCTCCAAAAACTCCCTGACAGACTCATGGCTTTGCGCCACCGACTTCACCGCTGCCTTTGGTCGATCGCCTCCGATGTTGGTATGGGCATCAAGATACCGCGCTACAAACATCCTACGGGCAGCTAAACTGAATTAATACAGAACGGACCATATCAGCTGGTTCTGATGCGGAGTCATCGAGAGATATACTTCTGCTGCGACCTATCGCCGCCGAGGCGCCTCTATTGGGGAAATAACAGCAAAACGATGACTTCAATGTTTCATGCAAACGTCTTGAAGATGACCCTCCGTGACAAACTTTTTCCGATCCCAATTGTTAACTGCCACAACAAAACAGTATAGAAATGAGAAAAAAAGGTGAGCTGCAATAGGACAGTAAGAAGGCTACAGCGGTGGTGGTGCTATCATGCAATGGGGTCGGTCGCACAGAGATGAGTGAAATCTGAAGAGGTAAAAATTCCAAATTTTCATACCACTCCATCGCGAATTTCCAATCGTTCCATATTGGATACTACCAGCGAACTGCAATCCGACTTTGTTTAATTTATTCTCATAGTGAGCCGCGTCATCCAGCAGCGAGACCTGTAAGCCTACTACCATCGAGAGTATCAACACTGCAGTGGTCCTACCCCACCCCGACGCACAGCGTGGCGGAAAATCTTCATGATCTCTTTACCCTTCTGGAGAGGCACCTTGTAAGAAGTCTACTACAGACAACTCGAGTTTCCACACTACCTCCTGCCCTTCTCGGCACAGCGGCAGCGGCATCGGTTGCCGAGAGGGAGGACAATGCGCCATTGGAATGAGTAGGTGCTGAAGGCTCTTGTTAGAGATATCATGTATGAAACTGAACAACATGTCCATACAGTATGTCCTCTAATCTTCACAGACGACTTGATGCCATCAGCCAAGATGTGTTACATCCATCTGAGTATGATAGCTCCCTTCCTTGTGACGCCATCAGGCCACCTCAGCACGGCAGTCTCGTCAATACCAATCGCCTGACACATCTGGAGAGCCTTCAACTACTCGCTACTCGATCTCATCCGCATATTACGCCTAGAAACATCCCAGATCCAGATACCGAAAAGAACAGATAAACCGGAGGGCAATGCGAGTCGGGCTGGTTGTTCATGTCGGGATAGCCTTTCAAAGCTTCCTTCAAGGTTTTGAGGAACTTCTCCGACCCAGGGGACCAAATCCCAAATCTGGGAAAGTCTAATTGCTGCTATCGAGGCTACTCTAGGGGTTTGAATACTACCGCAGAGCTATGTAGACATTCTCCTCGCAATCCGATTTACACACAAAGAACTTTGCTGCTTTCGGATTGACATCGAAAAAGTGGGGATTCACATGGGAGTATTTTTCAGCAATGCAAGACGGTAATACTAGAGACACACTGCAGAGGTTCGATGATAAACTGTCACCACTAGGAGAAGCCGATGGGGGCAGCAAAGACTCTCGGAGGCGTTTCAATCGGAAGTATCGAAAGCCTACCTGAAGTACACATAGGGTCCACTTCATCCAGTGACTGAGGACTCCCTTCACTACCCGACTAACTCTTATGGGTGCTATGCCACCTGCTGTTACTCTCGAGCCTCCCGGCAGCAGCTCCAGCTCGGAAGCCGGCATCATGGTTACACGAACAGCATCAACTTCGAACACAGAAGCGATGGACATTTATTTCGAGTAGAGGAAGAGTTCCGATGATGGTCAAAATTTTCGACCATCAGCGAAATTCTTCTGCTCGAAATAATGTGACCGCACATCAACAGCCGCAAGCGACGGTCGCGCCACCACATCATAGAGCTCTGAGCAGCCAATAAGCTGTGCTCGACCAATCTCGTTGAAAGCATTTGAACAAATGGTTATCGTTCAAGTGTCCTTAGTGTTATCAAACATTCAAGTGCAGTATTTGCAAGTTGTCTAGACCTTTGATCATTTTTTTTTGTTAAGACAGCTGGGAAGTTCTATGTAGAGCATGATCACAAGGCGTAGACACACAAATTTCATGCGACCCGTGAAAGAACAACCTAATCAGCCAGCATTCCTTCGCACATCAATACTAATCCTTCCGGAAATACCACCGCTCGAATCTGGGCGGGCGCCGTGACCGATGACCACTACGACCGGTGACCATCGCGACCGCTCCGCGACCGCGCCGCAAATACATCGAATTGGTGTAGAATTTAAATATTGTGCTTCACTTGTGTCGTTCGAGAGGTTATCACTTCGAAAGTCTTCTCAGTGTTATCAAGCATTGAAATGATCTCGATCATCAGCAGGATTACTGCAATCGCGGCCTTGGCCATCATGGTGGGAGCCACTGTTGCCTCCAACACCACCTCATCCCCCGACTTCGAGCACGAACTTTGGTGGATGCTGGGGAAGAAAAAAATTGAGGAGCTCCTGAAGGAAGAGGACAAGGCGACGAAGAGCCCATTTGATGGGATTCCACTGGAGGACCCCATCCTACCTGGTCCTACCTCGACCACCTCCACGACTTCCTCTCGCTTGATCCTCACCTTCTCGGCCGACCACGTCCTGCCCGGATCTACAACGCCGTGGTGGATGATGGAGATTCCGCTGGAGGACCCCATCCTGTTCCCTACCACGAGTATCTCCACCACCCTCGACCCCACGTCGACCACCACCACCACTACCACTTCCCCTCCTTCCACTCCTAGCAGTGGGCCGGGTGGCAAGCTCCGCGGAGGAGTCGACAGGTGAGCAACACCACACAATGCATGTTTCGCTATTTCTCTATGTCTTTCAGTTACAACTCGGCTAATACAAGAGGAGCCGGGATGGTGCTGCTCAGGGTTGTCCAAATCGGGAAAGAATTGGGTCAAATTCTTTCCTTGAAATTTCCGTTGAAATTTCCTGAAATTTCCGGAAATTTGGCACAATATGAATCGTTTCGCTCCGCGCTGCGCGCGGTATTCCATAGGCGCATCAGCAGCGCGATAGTGGCGCCCCTGGATAGGCAACCTACCGTAGGTTGAGCATGGCGTTTACGGTTCTATAAACCACTGCACTAAGAACCGACGCCCGCTGCATCGAAATCCTCCACAATCGGCTGGCAGTGGCTTCGTTATGTCTATACATGAGCAATGAGAGCGTGTCCAGCGTCTAGGTAGAGTGGGTGTAACTCTTGATTTTTTCCTGCGAGAGTCACTTAGTGAGTCATCACCCAGTACTGACTCTCGTACAAAACGGTGATACCATAACCAGGAATCGTCCAAGATGGTCTAGTAGAGATGTATGCGGATACGTCATTCAGAGCTCAAGACCCATGGACCACAGGTCACGCGCCCATACCGGTCAATGCACGCATACCCATAGGCTCTGGGTATGCGTGCATTCATGCGTGCCACCACATTGGTGGAAAAGAGAAATGAGGAGAAACCATAGAATTCGAAAAACTTAGATAACCATAGAACTGGGAAGCTCGGAAAATTTCCGACGGAAACACGTTCCGTAGGCAGTTTCAAACTGCCGCAGTTTGCACCGCGACAGTGTAATATCCTGGCAAAAAAAGAGCAAATCAACAACTTTCCGACACTCCCAGAACGAGCGGTCGACTGCCGGTGGCAGTCTGCCACACCATCACACGTTAATCAGCAACTTTCAGGATAAAGGTGGGAAGGACGTCCCGAAATCACCCACACTTGCGTGAAACGCCCTTTTTCAATACAAGTGGGCCACTAGCAGTGGCTCCCTAGTGTCACTTCTTCCTGTAGCAATATTCATCGGTACCTCACGAGTTGTCTTGCGTCGTTCTTTGCAATGCGCATAAACATTCGAGGAGTGGGCCGTTTGTGGCTTCCGTACGTTCCCTCTCCGGACTCGCGGGTGGATTGGCGAAGAATGGAAAACTGGCGGAGCCGCGGATCGAACCCACGACCTCGCCCGAAAATTCCGGAAATTTCGACCACTTCTATTTTTCCCGAAATTTCGGGAAATTTCCGCTTGAAAGAATTTTTTCTTTCCAGCCCGAACAACCCTGGTGCTGCTCGCCATGGTGGTCGTACTTGCCACCATGGCAGCCTCATAATTAATTATCATTATTATTTTTTATTAGTGTAACATTTGCATGAAGTTGTATGGTATAGTGGTTATGAGAATATTCAGAGTTGTGTTACAAAGTCTCAATGGCATTCACGTGAGGCTTACGATAAGCCGCTTATCCAATCAGTAATATCGACTATTATACTGATAGACTATGAGCCATCGTCACTATAAGCTGATATAGTTCATGAGAAATGAATGCCGGATTACAGCAATTGAAATTCAAATTTTGAATCTAGTTTTGCGCTCTTCAAATAGCGCTCGCCCAATACTGAGAACCGTCATATCGTTAATGTTGACCTAGACGTTGACCTGGTGTCGAATACCTAGTCATAGTGATATCAGCCGATTGACATCGGCTTCTCCTAGGTCTCCCTTCCGCCTGGTTGGGGTACATGAGCCAGGATAGTTTCGATCGTCGTGGTGGTTGAGCTTGCTATATTGGCGACCGTGTAACTATTATCCTTATTTACGCAATATTGGCACGAGGTTGTCTAGACCTTAGATCATTTGGTTGTAGACCACAAATTGTGGTAAGACAGTTTGGAAGTTCCATGTATAACGTGATCTCGAGACGCTGTCTTGGAGACAGGGGCACACAATTTCTATGCGAATCGCATAATGCGATACTCCACTCTGGCGATCTAATTCCGAACCGCGCGAAAGAAACATTCTAACCAACCAACATTCATACGCAAATCAATACCAATTCTTCCGGAAATACCTCCACTCGAATCTGGGCGCGCATCGCGGCCGATGACCACCGCAACCAGTGATAAGCGCGACCGGTGACCAGCGCGACCGCGATGAATCCGCGACCGCGCCGTAAATACACCGAATGTATGTAAGGTGAAAGCATTGTGCTTCAATGGTTTCGTTCGGGATGTTATCACATCGAAATTCTTCTCAGTGTTATCAAGCATTCAAATGCTCTCGATCATCAGCAAAATTGCTGCTATCGCGGCCTTCATTGTGATTGGAGCCGCTGTTGGCTCCAACACCACCTCGCCTGCTAACCACGTGCAGCCTGAATCTTCAACGCAGACGTCATGGTGGATGAAGGAGATTCCACTGGAGGATCCCTTCCTATTGGGCGATGTGACTTCCTCCACCACTTCAGCTACCACCTCGCCTGGTGACGATGTTCTGCCTGGAACTACAACGTGGAAGCCATGGTGGATGGGGACCATCCCACTTGAGGATCCCTTCCTATCTGGCGACGTGACTTCCTCCACCACTCCCACCACCACCTCGCCTGCCGACCACGTGCAGCCTGGACCTACAACGCCGACGCCATGGTGGATAGGGACCATCCCACTGGAGGATCCCTTCCTATTCGGTGACGCGAGTTCCTCCACAACTCCAAAAACCACTACCACTACGACTTCGGTCACCACTCCCACGTCGCCTACCACCACTACCTTTTCGACCACCACCATTACTAGTGGGCCGGGAAGCAAGCTCCGTGGAGGAGTACACAGGTGAGCAACGTCACACAATGCACATCTCTCTCACTTTCTCGTGTCTTTCAGCCAAAACCCGGCTAATACAAGAGCTCGGATGGTGCTAGTCGGCATGGTGGTTGGACTCGGCACTATGGCGGCATTATAATTAGTTATCATCATTATTATTTTCATCATTGTAACATTTGCATGAAGCTGTTTAGTGGTTATGAGCATATTCAAAGTTGAGTTACAAAGTCCCAACGTCCCACTCAGGTAAGGCTCACTGATTCAGAATCATCACTGAGTCAGTCAGTGAGATACAATACCATACTTTTAATCATTACAAGCTGGAGCTCAGGGGAGATGATCTCCCGGAGATCCATTCCGTGTTGGAACATGATTCTCAGTCTTTGAATTTCGCATTGTACATAGCGCTCGCCCAGTAATAAGAACTATCATAGCACTACTGTAACCTTCATCGCCGTCCTCGGCACGACATTGACCTCAGAGAGTAATTTCTCTCCCGCCACCCCTGCCCTGCCTGTCCGCACCCTTAGCGAGACAAACCAGAGCGACTGGTGGTCAAGGATGAGCGAGATCATTTCCCAACAACTTGAGGATGAAGAGGGTAATGATCCCCTTCTTCCTCCCAAGATCACTACGACCACTGAAACTAGCGCCTCCCCGGCCCCTACCTCTCCTCCGGTAGATGCCGTGGGCAGTGGACTTCGCGGAGGGTGTAGCAGGTAAGATACTGGGCGTCTCAAACTATTACTGGTTATCTTGTCCATCTCAGCTCGTTCTCGCATGGCCAGCAAGTGCTTGGAGCAACCATGAAGGCCACGTTCTTAATGGTGGCCACCATAGGAGCGGTGCTCTTCGATTGAGCGCTTACCTTATAGAATTCGACACGATCATAGCATGATCATCATACTATTTGCAAGAAGTTGTTTATGGATGAGATTCTTTTTTGAGAATGGCTTGTTGCGTTACTAAAGTGTTTAAAGAACCGACACTCCCCAGTATCTACAATCAACAACAATCGTTCCACTTCTACACCGTTTCAAAGCCTATTTCGCCGTGCGTCGCACGGCGTGCGAGCGGCCATGTTACCACTTCAACATATACATCAATACAATCAACTTGACAGGCCCGTGGCGTACAAATAGGCCCCTGGTACTAAAACCTGGTGTTATTAGTACCATAAGTAGCCATGAGCAGGTCATGGCTACTTATGGTACTAATGACACTATGGTCCTATGGGTCGGCAAGCCGACAACTCCACGCTCTTCCCATTAGCACCATCTTCCAATTCTCGGTGAGATCTGGATCCCGCCGTCGGCAAGCAAGTCAACGAGCATTCAGGTCGACGAACAGATGGAGAGGAACCCTTGATGACTCATTGGCAGGCAGCGTAATTACCTCACTCGACAAAACGATAAGAAACTGAGCAGCACAAGCACAAAAAATATTCCCTGAAAATAGTAACTGAGCAAATCGATAGACATCGATTATACAACGTGCACCTATACAATATACCTTTTCGACACTGCACTATTCAAGTGAGGTTTACTAAGGCTAAGCATTTCCACAACAGTCCTTGCTTATAACGTCTTATTTAAATCACGGTCACGACAGTCACGCTCCATAACCGACACGGATTGTATGAATAACGCAACTCTCAAAGCAAATAGAACGGATAACTAGAAACTTTTGTTGTTGTATCTCAGGATGACAGTAGCGCACGGGACCAGACATTTTCCAACAGATAACAGCGTAAGTAATACATAAACATGATGAATATTTTCACATCTACACGGAGTGGAAATTCACTCGTCCATCTCAGCAGCTCTCTTCGTCATTCCCTCTTCGACAGCCTTGCGAATCACGCCAATGACTGACTCTGGCTCGCTAGTACTACGAACAGACAGACACGAGTGATGCTCTACAACGAGCGCGAGTTTGCCACGACCGGACTTCGGATTCCGAAATCCGGGCGGCTCGCTCAACCCAATCCTACCGGAAAACGGCACTTCCAGCGACAATGACGTTCGCGCCAGCATCACCAGCAACGATGGAAGTTGTAGAGTTGAGCCCACCGTCAACAGTAATATCTTGAGAATGAGAAGCCAACACAGAAACTACCCTTGAGGAAGGAACAAGACGATGGTACCCAGAGAATGGCCGTAACGCTTCCGTGCCTCTTCAACCTTAACCATCATGTCGGGCATGAACTTCTGTCCACCGAAACCCGGCTCCACGGTCATCACCTGAACCAAGACCACTCGCCCCTGGCAGGACCATATATACTTGGATCATACCAAGAGATCATCGATAATCGCCTTTTCCGCGCCGTCCTTCCTTCCAATATCCAACACAGATTGGACTGCACTGATGGGCGTCTTCGGCTTTACAGCGATACCCACTCGCATTCCTGAGCAATGGTCTACATTGAGCCCCAAATGCCTCATTATGTATAGCATACCTTTCTCGCGGATGGCTTGACAAACTCGAAGACACTCGTCGTGATCCTTGACGGCCTCTATATGGAAATCAACCTGAAATGAATTAAATCCAATAGACATTATAAACAGGAGACTCCGTTTATCGAATACTTGGTTGCATCCACATTTCTTCAAATCTTCGATCCACTGCATCGGGTTACTAACCATGATGTGAGCATCGAAGAACGGATGAGCATGACCAGTCTCGGACTCTGACAGAACCTCGTCAAATATAACAACCGCGATATATTCGTACCCTGTTTTTTATAGTACTTATCGAGGCTCTCTACCACGGGGAAGCCGAAAGACAAGTTCGGAACGAAGTGACCATCCATGAAGTCAAGATGGAGCCAGTCCGCGCCACCTGAATCAACACTTGTCGAAAACCATGCGTATTTGCGGCCTCAAAACTCGAAAGTGGAGAAAAGTACAGCTGTGATACACTCACCTTTGACGACTTCATCGCAGTCGTGCGCAAGATTGGCAAAATCAGCGGCAAGCACACTGGGAGCAACGATAGCCTTGCAACTCGTAGACATGTTTTTGAAAGATCTTTTCATACACTGGAAGATACCAAGCTTGAGACCAATGACTCTCATAAGCAGGTGCTCATACACAATCTGGCATGGCCCGACGAAGTCACTCCAATCACATGCACCGTTGGAGTAGAGCAGAGCGTCGTGTACCATGCAGCATACTGCGAAAATCTTTTGTCTTTTGTTACACAAAGCGGAAGATTAGAGAAAATTCAAGTATGCCGAGAAGATTCAAGATTTTTCTTGCAGGCCCATAATGGAGTTACCGGCGAGCTTAATCATAGTGTTGTTAAGGTCTATGGATGATAGGTACTAATGACAGGAGATCATTGAGGATCATATGCTCGTGAGCTGTATTTCGATGGTCGTTATATCTCATGACTTGAGACTCAAGTTGATGCTCTCAACTGAGGTAGATGAGCGGTTTCTCAGTTGAGTTGTTCCTCTCGCTCGTGTGGATCGCCCCCATGTCACTGCTCTGTCACTACGAGATCGATAGTGGTCAGCTTTTGATCGATCAAACCATCTCAGCTGGACGTTCGCTGTAGTATTCATTTCCCCCTTTTTAGGCGTTGAGGGTTGCAGACTGCACTGTTCAACAGCAGCCGAAGCCTTCGGCCCGAAGGTAGTAACAGATATCCCTTGTGAATGCGTATGTCGTAGTAGCTCTTGGTAAAGTCGACTTTATTCGATGGGGCGGTGATGTCACCATCTCAATATGTGACTCTCTGCAATCACCTCAGCAGATGCACATGATAGAAAGATGAACAGGAGATGGCATATCTGCCCCACAAGCGGGATTGATACTACCAAGGGTGATATTATTGAGTCACGTGAATGTCGAAATTGGTATTACTTCTGTCGTGTCGACGAAATTGATCTTTGTACGTCGCGGGCCTGTCGAGTTGATTGTATTGATGTATATGTTGAAGTGGTAGCACAGCCGCTCGCACTACGAAATAGGCCCTAAAACGGTGTAGAAGTGGAACGATTGTTGTTGGTTGTAGATACTGAGGAGTGTCGGTTCTTTAAACACTTTAGTAACGCAACAAGCCATTCTCATTGAGAAGGGCTTGTTGCGTTACTAAACTTGTTGCGTTTTGAGAATTTCTCAAAAAAGAATCTCATCCATGAACAACTTCTTGCAAATAGTATGATATTGTCGAATTTTATGAGGTAAGCGCTCAATCGATGTGCACAACGGCGGTGATCGCTGACCACAGGTGAAGGTATGTTTCCAGTTAGTGTAGGTAAACGTTGTGCGTAGTGGCCGGGATCACTTTCAACTCTCCCTGAAATCCTAGAACGAACCGTACGACGAGCACGGTCCTTAATCTTCACAATCTTCCCAACGGGGCTCCGTTGACCCGAATGATCAACGACTCTATTCGAACTCTTGCCACTACGAGTCAATACCATCGTGACTAGTGAACACAATGCCTAAGTCATATACAATACCGTAAACTAATCCCTGACTAAGATACCGTTCAGACGAAGCTTAGCCACTAGCGAATGATATACCTCAAACCACAATAAATCACTCTGAGCCTGGGCTCAGGTCCAACGTAAGCAAACGAACGTCGTTTACGAACGCCTAACCCTAGGGT